CTATGATCTCCACTACTCCACTCCAACCTCCATCGCCCTTCTATGGGCTCCACCACCTTTCTATGATCTCCACCACCCTCCTATGAGCTCAAATCACCCTTCTACCGGCTCCACCACCCCTCCATGATCTCCACCACCCTTCTTCAAAGGGTAGCAGTACCCCGCTACGAGCTCCACCCCCCCCCCACGAGCTCCACCATCGTTCTTCAAAGGGTGACACCATCATCTTATGAGCTCTGTCACTCCCCTATGAGCTCCACCACCCTCCTACGAGCTCCATCACCCTTCTACAGGCTCCATCATCCTCCTACAATCTCCATCACCCTTCTATGATCTCCACCACCCTCCTATGATCTCCACCACCCTCCTATGATCTCCACCACCCTCCTATGAGCTGCCCTACCTTTCTATGAGCTCCCCTACCCTTCTTCAAAGGGTGGCACCACCCTTCTATGGGCTCCATCAACCCCCTACGTTCTCGATCACCTTCCTACAAGCTCCACCACCCTCCCATGATCTCCACCACCCTCCTATAAAGGGTGGCACCACTCTCTTATGAGCTCCACCACCTCCCTATGAGCTCAACCACCCTTCTATGATATCCGCCACCCTCCTACAAGCTCTATCACCCTTCTACGAGCTCCGCCATGCCTCCGGCATCTCCAAGACCCTTCTTCAAAGGGTGACACCACCCTTCTATGAGCTCTACCACCCTCCTACGAGCTCCAAGACCCTTCTTCAAAGGGGGGCACCACCCTTCTATGAGCCTCATCACCCTCCTATGAGCTCCACCACCCTCCTATTAGCTCCAAGACCCTTCTATGAGCTCCACCACTCTTCCATGAGCTCTACCACCCTTCTTCAAATGGTGGCACCACCCTTCTGAGCTCCACCACTCTCCTACGAGCTCCAAGACCCCTCTTCAAAGTGGGGCACCACCCTTCTATGAGCCTCATCACCCTCCTATGAGCTCTACCACCCTCCTATGAGCTTCAAGATCCTTCTTCACAGGGTGACACCATCCTTCCATGAGCTCCACCACCCTTCTATGAGCTCCACCACCCTTCTATGAGCTCCACCACCCTTCTATGAGCTCCACCACCCTTCTATGAGCTCCACCACCCTTCTATGAGCTCCACCACCCTTCTATGAGCTCCACCACCCTCCTAAGATCTCCGCCACCCTTCTATGCCCCTTCTATGAGCCCCCCCCCCCTTCTAGGAGCTCCACCCCCCTTCTAGGAGCCCCACCACCCTTCTAGGAGCTCCACCACCCTTCTGCGAGCCCCACCGCCCCCTCACCCGGCCGATACTGATCCGTCAGATGACTTCCAAAGTTGTAAACCAGATCGAGGTGACGTCGTTCCTGCAAACGGTTCCCCACCTCTCGGAAAGCGTCCTGAGCCATGCTCTCCATCTGCCGTCGAGCCAAACCCAAGCTGTGACGGGCGCTGGCTTTTTGGATGACCTTGAGGATATCGGTGTAATCGGGAAAGACCTCGGGACGGTTGATGAAACGTTCGATGCGACGGTTGACCTCGGGGTAGCGCGTCCCGCGGTATTGGATGCGTTGCTCGATGACGCGACCCGTCAGGCTGCTGCACTGCTTGAGTTGACAGAGACGTTCGAAAATCCGCATCATCTTCCGTTTGAGACGACTTTCCTGGAGATACGTCGAGTCTTCGCTGTCCAACTCGGCCAAATCCAACTCCCGTTCTTGCAGACGTCGGATTTCTCCCATGTAAACGCGAAGGAGATTCTCCAAATAACGGATCTGACGTTTGGAACCGCCGGGAGGTCGAGGAGAAACGGCGGCGGGAGAGACGGGAGGTTGAGGCGAGGCGGAAGGAGGAGGAGGAGGAGGAGGCGAGGAAGAAGAGGAGGAGGAAGGGACGGGGAGGAGGGTCAGCTTGCGGCGCGAGGTGTGAGCTTTGAGGACGGTGCAGAGCTCGTTGATGTAGACGTAGACTTTGTCCCGCCGAGCGCGGACGCGGCTCAGACACCGCGCCAGGACGTTGCGGAGTTCGGCCGACGCCAGGAAGTCGGGGCTGGTTTTTTGATGGCGGTTGGAGAGGAAGGGGATGACTTCGGGGTGCTCCTGCGTCA